TTTTTTTTAGTAACGTGGTTAAAGAATAAAAATATTAACCATATAATTTCACACTTTCCGTCACGCTTTTTGCCGTTTTTTAAAAAGAAAAACAGAATTTGTTTTGACACGAAAAGTTTTCTTTTTAAAAAATAAGAGAGAAAAAATTCTTTTTCTCTAATTTTGAAGGATAAAGTTAAGTGTAAACAAAAACAACCAGCCGTCTGCCATTTAGACGCAGGCTGTTACCAGCCGTCTGCCTTTTATTCGCAAGCAGTTATTTTAAAAAATTAATCGCAACCATTTAGCCGCAAACATGAAGCAAATGTTATACTATTAGAGCCAAATAGGGATATCGAGGATTTTAGGATTAAAAAAAAATAAAATTAAAAATTATTAAAGGGTGTTTGGTGATTAATTGAATACTAATTATTTGAAGAGATGAAGGTGAATTAGGATAATAAGGTTAACGGTAAATTTGTAGGGGATTAAGTGTATATCAGAGGTGAACTGCGATTTGGGATAGTTAATGCAGATTGATGTATGGGGGTTTGAGGATTGTAAAGAATATCGGGGATTTGCGTATTAAGATGGTAAGAATGAGTGATAAAGGGGATATCGTGGATTGTGGCAAATTAAGGGAATATTGTGACTTGAGCAAATGTATGGTGGATTTTGAGGATTAATAGGGATATCAGAGTTTTGAAGAAAAAAGAGTGAGAAATAAAGAAAAGTTAATAGAGATTCAGACTATTTTGGGAACTTACGAGGTTGTTAAAGAATATCGGTACTTAGAATTGATATCGGGGGATTTATATTAAAAACATAAGTTCTGTGAAGATATGGAGGATTTGAGATATAAAGTGGGATATATAGGGGATTTTTTAGTTACAAACATTATAAATGCGGATTTAATGAAGGGATTTTGAGGATTTCGAACATTAAGCGGATATTGGGGAGCTATACGGGATTTTGAGTATTTGGGGTATATTAATGTATTTAGGAAATACAAGAACAGCTATTAGTGATTGTAAGTGACTTTGATGTGTGATTGAAGAATATCAATAGTTTTGTGGGCTTAATATTGATATTGAGGGATGTGGATTAAGATATGATTTTGGGGATATTGGGAAAAGATTAGTATCAAAGAATAATAAAGATATCGGGGATTAGAGTAATTAAGGAGGCTTTCGAGGATTAGTGATACGCAACACAAAAATAAGAAAAATGAGTGAAAGCCTATGAAACATAATCATTGGAGACTAAGGGATTAAGAGGCAAAAAGGGGAGTTATTGGAAGGATTACGAGAAATAATGAGAAAGATTTGGTAATTAAGAGGGACATCCAGGATTTGGTATGATTAAGAGGGATATCAGTTATTTGATGAATAAAGGGATATATTGTGAGTTTAGACAAATTACATCTGAGGGTTAGATTAGTTTAACTGGAAGGATATCGAGGAATAATATTCAAAAATAATATTCAAAAAAATATATTAAAGGATATCTTTAATCTTATATGATTATAAGATTAAAGAGTATTTATGGTTACGTGTATATCAAAGAATTTAGGAAGATATCGTGGAATTAGGGATAAAATAGGTAGTTGAGGATATGTTGAGTGATATAGGTGGATTTGGGACAAATAGGTGGGATATCGCGGATTTACGGGTTTAAAGGTGATATAGAAGGATTTGGGAGACTAAGAGTGTTATAGACTAATTTATGGGAGATAAAGTGTGATATCTGGGATTTTTAAAAATAAAAAGGGATATTTGCGACGTGAAAAATGAGTGATATAGGAAGATTTGATATGAATAAGATGGATCAAGTGTTAATGGTGATATACATGAGTTTGGAAATAGAGTTTTGGGTGTTTAGGGAGGATAATAGGCGATATTTGTATTTTGGAGAATAAAATGCGTTTTCAGACAATAGGGGATTAAGAAGAATAACATAGGATTAAGAGTGATAACGTACTTTTTGTCTCAGGGATATTAGGGGTTTCAGGATAAAGGGTGATATCAAATGTTTTGATGGGAAAAAGGGTATTTTCTACGAAAATAAAGTTTGAAAAGTGAAATTTGTGTAAATAGCGGTATCGGAGACTAATTAACAAACATATTTTGTGATTTGAGGGGATTAATGAATCGGAGGATTTGGGAGAGATTAAGGGTATAGCAGATAAAGCGTGATAGTAAAAATGATTTAGCGCGTTTGGGACGTGGGGGAGTTGATTAAAGCCCTATATCAGAGGAATGAAGCGAGATATCGTGGGTATGGCGAATTAAATGTGAGGGTTAGTGTAGTTTAACAGGAGGGTTGGCAAAGGGTGATGTATGAGATTTGGTGATGTTTAGGTGAGATATCAGATTATTTGGAGAAAAAGGATTTTGGTGAAAAAGGGTGATATTTAGGATTTGGGTGTGATTAAGAGGAATGACAGAGGATTTGGGGACTTTTGGTTAATATCTAGGTTTTGTGAGATAAACGGTGATAACTGTGGAGTACGAAAAGGGATTTCGTATGGTGATATATCAGGGGATTTGGGGTGATTAAGAGGGATATCGGACGATTTCGGGGCTAAAGGGTGATTTTGGGGTGTGATATGAGATTGAACCTAGATATGAACTTAGATATGAGATTTTGGGGTGCAAAGTAGAAATATCTATGTTTTGGGGCCTAAAGAGTAATATCTGAGTTTTTGGGTATAAATGGTGATATCTGTGTTTTTGGGGATGGTTATGAGAGATATCAGAACATTAGGGAGAGGATTAACAGGACGATGGTTAAGAGGGATATTGCAGATTTTTGAAGATAAAAGGTGATAGCTGTGATGTGTGATTAAGAGATATTTCAAAAGATTAGAGTCTAATGGGTGATTCGGGGATTTTGGGATGTTTATGAGGCATATTAGAGAATTGAGTGTGATTAATTGGTGGTGAGTAAGAGAGTGGTGCTAAAAAAAAGTAGTCTATCTATGATTTGAGTGTGATTAAGAGCGATTTCACATGAGTTGGGGGCTAAAGGGTGATTCTGCGATTTTGGTGGTGATTAAGAGAATATCAAATAATTTGGGTATAAAGAGTAATATTAGGGATTTGGGCTTGAGCAAGAGACTCTTCTCACAATAGATAAGAAGAGTCCATAACAAGTGAGAAGTTGGGAATTTGTGTCCGTCAAAGTGTGAGGTTGATCTAGGAAGAATTACAAGGTGTTGTGCGAGCGTTAGGACGCGCGGAGCGCGTCCTAACGCTCGTAAATAAGAAAAAACGAAAATGGAACCGAAAAAAACAAAACTAGTACTCAAATGGAAAAAATTACAGAATGCCAAAATTTGTGCCAAAATGATTTTTTGGTAAAATTCAAAATTGTACAAGAGGTCAGCGCGGGACGGGATCCTTACAGGATTCTACGGGATCCCGGAATCCCGGATTTTTTTATTTTCGAGATCTTTCGGGGACCGGGATTTTCGGGATTTATCCTTCGGGATCCCCTCCCGGCATCGGTTAAGACGATTTTGCCGAACTCTTAATTCGTCCCACCTCCTTTATTTCTTCCTCAAAGTATTAAAAACTGGTCATTAAGATGTGTTACCAATCTTTATGGCTATAAGCCCCATTTATGCTTTTTAGAAACACTGATTCGGTATTTAACAGGGGTGTGCCATTTCGCCTTCCGTCTTCCGCCAAAATGCCGGCTTTTTTGGACTTTCGCCTTTCGCTTTTTAAATTTACTTTCGCAATTTCGCTTTCCGCCTTTCGCTTTTTAAAATCTGTTTGGCACATCCCTGGAAGGAACCTCTGGGTACTACAAAAAAGTCTGGTCGGATTTCGGGTTGGGGTTTTGAAGAATAAAATTCCTCTGGCCGGGTTTCGTGTATCGAGTCGAAAAAACGACTGGGTATCGGGTAAACCGGTCCACCCCTCTAGGAAAGTTAACAACTGTGAATTAATGTTTTATAGACTTTTTTGCTATAGCCCACCTTACAGAAACAAAAAATAAATTAAACAATTTAAATAAATATTTTTAATTAATTTTAATAAAAAATTTTATTAGCATTTAATAATCGATAATAAAGTCGATTTGACATATTTAATAAATAGATTTTAAATTGAAAAATCAATTTCCCTCTAAGACCCCTCTCCCTCTCCCCAGCCCCCTCTCTCTCCATCTATTTTTACCTTTAAATAATTTTTTAATAAAGTCATTTTTATTTTTATTAATTAATTAACATTGTAAAGCATATAGCTATTTATAAGTAATTCCTAAGGCTGTGCAGTAGACGGTGTGGTGTAATGGCTAACACATCAGTCCGGTCTGTTGAAGATGCCAGCCGACGAATAACCCTTTACACTAGCTAAAGGAGAGAAATACCGTAAGTAGTCATAGGTACGCCGGTGTCGTGGCTGTCACTAACCTAATCCTTTTGATCTCACTGTCGTGGGGGTGGCGGGGTCTGGTAAAACCAAAAGGGAGAGGGCATGTCGGGAAAAGTGCGGTAAAAAAACCTAAAGGGAGAGGGCATATCGGCAGCGTCGTGGGGAGTTGAGGTCACATAAACCTAAAGGGAGTGGACATTTCGGCAGCGTCGTGGGGGAGGAGGGGAAAAGAAAAGAGAATGCCAATATTTGGGGGTGGTCAGACAAAAAGAGAGAGTATGTTGACCTATTAGAGAGGAAAACCTAAAGGATGAGAAACCTTTTGAAAGTGGATGTGAAGGAGGATAATTGTATAAATCACTATCGCGGGTGGCAATAAGAAAGTCAAATCCTTTTGACTTGTTTTGACCTAAGATCAAATCCTTTTGATTAGTTTTGACTTAAGGCCAAATCCTTTTGAGCGGCTGGTCAAAGCTCAAAACTTTAGCACGAGTTAGTGCGGTAAAAGCTGACCAACCTGTACCTGTAGGAGGAGAGGGAAAAATTGATGTCGCGGGCGTCCTACTCCTCCTCCCTATCCTTCCCTACCTCTTCTCTCTCCTTTTTCTCTTCTCTGGAAAAAACGTCGTGGGTTGGTGGGGGTCTGGTAAAACCAAAAGGAAGAGGGCATGATGGTGATCGCGCGGCAAAAACCTAAAGGGAGTGGACAACTTGGCAGAGTCTTGGGGTGGAGTGGGAAGGGAAGCCAAGTTTTGTGGTGGAGAGGTCAGATAAAACGATAGAGTATGTGCATTTATTTGTGGGGAAAATCAAAATGGAGAGGAAAATTCTTGCGGAGAGGTACGATAAAAGAAAAGTGAATGGCAATATTTGGAGAGGATGGGTCAGACAAAGGAAATAATTATGAGGGAAAACCAAAAAAAGTAAACCCCTTTTGAATGTGGACATCAATAACTGAAATGGATAAAATAGTCTTGTAATCAAATAGTAATGAGAGGGTAGAGAGACATTTTGGGAGCAGGTTTAAGGGTAATTTGTGAATCAAAGTCGTTAGTCGTGGCCGACTTTTTGACTTTTAAGTAATTTGTTTGATTTGATTAGATGATCAAATTCCAAACTTTGGTTAGTGTGGTAAATGTTGTTAAACTGGCACTTCTCATGTCAAGTCTCAATTTATAGGAGTTAGAGGAATCGGTATCGTTTTCGTTCTTTCTCCTTCTCCTCCTCCTTTGCTCCTTTTCCTTCTCTTCTCCTCCTCTCCTCATCCTCACCTTTCCTTTTCTTTACCTAAACTTTTTCTCCTACTCCTTCTCATTTCACCCTTTCCGCCCATTCTTCTTCCTCTTTTATCCTACTCCTCCCATCTTCTCCTCTGCTTACCTCCGCACTGCTGCCACTTCTCCTCCTCTCTTCATCCTCCTCTTCAGCTTATCTTCTTTGTCTTACTCTTCCTCCTCCTTTTATATTCTCCTCTTTATTCCTCCTACTCCTCTCTTTCCTCCTCTCTGCTGCTACTTCTCCTCCTCTCAAAATCCTACTCCTCTCATCTTTTCTTTCGACTCATATTCTCTTCTTTCCTCCTCTTTCTCTCATCTTCTCCTTTTCTTTCTTCCTCCTCTTCTTTCACATCATTCTAATCTATATTCGTCCTCCTCTCCCCTTTTCTCCTACTCTTCCCCCTCTCATCTTCACTAATTCTTCCTCCTCTTCCTCTCATCTTCCCAGCTATTTATTCCTCCTGCTCTCTTCCACTCAAACAATTAAGTTATGAGGACTTGTAAGAGGAAATTAAAAGGTCGAGACATATTTAGGCTGTGAAGGTTTGGTTGAGGACAAATTTGTATTTATGGATTTACGAGTGACACAATCACTATGTTTTTTTTTGTAATTAGTCAAACAGTGTTCGTGTTTATTATTTGCAATAATTATTGTCATATCTTATAAAAAAACATGTGCAATATTAATGTTTTAAAGTGGTAGATTTTAGGGAGAAAAGTGCATATTTAATTGTTAGAAGATCAATGAGCATAATTAACATTTAGAAGTTGATGATTTTAGGGAGAAAAGTGCATAATTAAGCATTACAAGTTGTAAAAAGCATAGTTTGGAGTTTGAAGTAGTTAATTTTGGGGGTAAAAGTGCATATTTAAACAAAAGAAAGTGCAAATTTTAATTTTTTTAAAATCCACGTATTTTAGGCATGCGCGAGTGTTTTGGGGATGTGCGCGTGTTTTGTGTATGTGCGTGTTTTTAAGGCGTGTCAGTTTTGATTAATGTTGTAATCCACTGAAAATCCGAGTATAAAAGGGTGGCAATTTTGGATTTTTGTATCATTATTTCAAAATGAATCAAAATTTGTTTTCCCAAATCCTCCCAGTAGATTTTAATATCTCCTCGAGTGGAATAACCGTTTTAAGTTCTCGACTTACTACTCCTAGGTTTATTCCTTACGACCAGTCAGGGAGATGTAAGGAGTGCAAGAGCACAGAGGTCGAAATTGATTTTATTGTGACTAAGGAAGGGGTTACCATCTACTGTACACGAATTGGCTCAGGTACCCGATTTGTCCCATTCGATACAGTTTATGAGTTGCCCACACATTGCTTTTTTAAAGTCAGGAACAAAGGAAGAGTGTTCAATGTTCCTCATGGAGTACAAGCGCAACAGATAATCCATCAAAATCCCAAGAGAGGGAAAAGGAAAATTGATGAGCTACCTACTCTTACTCCAACTGCTCCAACTAATAATTTGTCTTCTCCTCCTCATAGCTCCCCTACTCCTCCTCTACATTCTCCTCCTCGAGTTGATACTCCTCGACCTCCTACACCTCCTGATAATGTAGAGTTCGAGAAAGAACTTCAGGAATTCTATGATAGTTTAATGGCAGCTACAACTGGATTATCTTCATCTCCGAAGAAGCTGGAAGAGAAGGTTCAGAAAGAAGAGAAAATAGATGAAACAAATGTTCCTATATAAGCATTAATGTTTACCCTCTAATTTGTTTTTTTCGTAAATATTATAATTATGGAATTACAATCATTTATTAATAAAGACTTAAATTTTAAACTACCTTTTGGTATGATTTTGTCTGGGCCAAGCTCAAGTGGAAAAAGTTCATTCTTATTAAAATTTATTGCGGACTCCCAAGATTTGATCGAACCCAAGCCAAAAAGTATACTGTATTGTTTTGGAGAGATGAACGATAATATCCCGATCCTTCAAAAATCAGGAGTTAATGTTTATGCTGGAGTTCCTCCAGAGGATTTAATAAATAAGTTCCAAAAACCCTTGCTACTAATTCTTGATGATTTGCTCCTATCTATAGATGAAAAATATCTTTCGGAGTTATTTACAAAAAAGTCGCATCATCAAAATTTTGCAATTGTTTTTGTTACCCAAAACCTATTTGAGAAAAAGATTAAGGTTGCGCGACAAAATGCCCAATATATTGTTTTAATGAGGTCTCCAAACTCTGCACTCTCCGTGAGAAATATTGGTGTACAGTTATTTCCTCGTCAGTTAGACTATTTCCTCGATGCATACAAACAAGCAACAAATGAACCTTACGGATATTTGCTCATCGATTTGCATGCATCCTCAGACCCAGCTCTAAGACTACGGACAAACGTATTTAAAGGCGATGAAGAGAAGATAATTTTCATTTCCAAAAATGTTTAGTCAATTAATTAACGAGAATAAGGAATTTTTACGCTCTTTAGCGCATACAAAATCTGAAAGTAGAAGCAGAAAAATTTTACGAAAAGCAGATACTAATCAATTGTTATCAATTGTTGAAATTTGTTTAAATATTGTAAAATCTCGTTTTAACCTTAATACTCGTCAAAAGAAACGTTTGATACCTCATGTAGATTTTATTCGTCAAATAAGCCGTGCTAGGAGTGAACGAGGAGTAAGAAAAGTTTTAAGGCAAAAAGGTGGAGGAGTAGGAGTATTTGCTGCTCTTCTCACACCTGTGCTTTTAGAATTAGCTAGAGCGATTAGTATAAAAGACAATCAAAATAATTAAAATCAAACATAAATTTAACAATAATGGCAAAAAAACTAATTCTTGTTCCAGAAGAAATTTATAGAGGACTGACCTCACATAATATTAGTGAACCAAATTTAGAGTTTACAAGGAGAGCGGTTGAGAAGGCTAAAAGTAAAAAAGAAAACCTCTCCGCCAAAAATATTCATTATAACCAAGAACTAAGACGGTATCTGAAATTAATGAATGAGAGTGAAAATAGACCTGTCAGAGTCGAAATGGTAGCTAACCCCAAAGGAGCAATTATGAATAGTGATGTTAACAGACCTGCAACAAATATTACAGACGATAATGATGATTTATGGATGAGCGATGATTTTTCCTATTCTGCGTACCCACAAGAGCCACCTGCTTTAGCATATAATATTGTTCCTCCTCTGTCAAATTCTTCAAACGAGCAAACAGCACCCGAAACTCGACGTAGAAAATTATTAAGAGATGGAATTTCTCCCACTCCTCCTACACTTAGACAAAAAATCAAGAGAAAAATTGGGGAGGAAGAACATGGGCAAAATAAAAGAAGACATTTGATTAACCATAAAAAGGAGGCTAGGAATGAGTATATGAAACTTTCTGAAAAGGCTAGAAATAGGATGCAAAAATTAGAAAGGAAAAAGATGTTAAAAAATTGGAGAATTCCCTATACCCCTGAATATTACACAAATGACCCGGTTGATGATGATTTTCCTCAAACTCCTCCCAACCCAATTCTCCCTACTATTCCTGAAGGTATTGATGCTCCTCTTGTATCTGACCATCTTCCTCCTAGACAAATTACAAAAAGGGGACAGTCAGAAGAGTTTGAAGGTACAAAGAGGTGGAAAAGGGGATTTAATGAACATGAAGAAGCAAAATTAAGACGTGAACAGAAAAGAAGGGAATATTTACAGAGGAAAAGTAATATTCGAGAACAAAGGGTTCCCATTGACTAATCAGCTTTAGTTAAAACTCGTAAGGAAGATGATATTCAAAGACGTCTAAAATTAAAAAGAAAATGGGAAGGTCCAGATGAAAGTCCTCTAATTGCCTTGAAAAAAGTAAAACCTGTAACAAAAATTCAATCATCAAACGCTGGTAGAGAATGGATGCTAAGACTTATAAAAGCTAAACGTAAAGAAGCGGGTATAAAAAGATTTAAACCAACACTTTGGTAAAAATGGCAGACCCCACACAGTTATTACATCGACTTTATAATGATCCAGATTCACCTGCTGCCTTTTCCGGAGTTGATAGGTTATGGTATGAGGCACGTAAAATTCTCAAACATTTACCCAAAAAAGTTGTTCAAGATTATTTGGAAGGGCACAGGACTTATACACTTATGCGTCCAAAAAGAATCCATTTTAAAAGAGCAATAACTGTAGCGGCTGGTTTTATGACTGATGTACAAGTAGATCTGGCTGACATGCAGGCTCTCTCCAGACATAACAAAGGAAATAAGTATATTCTCCTAGGTGTTGATGTTCTCTCTAAACGACTCTTTGGTGTCCCAGTCAAATCAAAAAGCTCAAAGGATATGTTAGAGGCATTTAAACAACTAATTAGTCAAATGCCCATGAAACCTCATAGGATTTTCTCAGATAAAGGGTTAGAATTTAAAAACAAAGTTGTAAAGGAATATTTTGATCAAGAGGAGATACAAAAATTAGAGGCTACTCATTCAACTGTAAAAGCTGCTGTGGCTGAAAGGGCTATAAGAAATGTAAAGCAGCGGCTCTATAGATATTTTGCACAAAACAAATCTTTAAATTGGATTGATATACTTGATAAAATATTAGATGGGATTATTAAGTCAAAGAGCAGGGCGCATGGGATGCGTCCTATTGATATAAATTTTTCTAATGCACAAGAGGTGTGGGAGCGAATGTATACAGATGAATTTTCATCAACGGAAAAGAAAAGTAAAGCAAGGCTAAAGGAAGGAGATTATGTTCGCATGAGTATTGGCAAAGGAGCTTTT